TGTACATGGCACAGAGTCTTGCCTTATCCTTCCTGATTTCTTGAGACTCCCATTCTACTTTGAAAGAGAATATGAAGCTATCTCGGTACTTCGTGAAAAAATATACTATCGCGTGTATAAACTGTGTATCTATGGTGATTTAAAAATCACCACCATTCTTATGGGAACATCACACTGCTGCAAGCGGGACAGAGATAGAACGCACCTTTACATTAAGAGAAAATGGCATATGAAAACTAGAATGCACCCAGGAAATAAAAAAGTCCTTAGTGTGCCATTGATTGACACTGACAATGTCATGTACCTCTTCACATGAAGCTGGGACCTGTGAAACATTTCATGAAGGCACTAGACAATGACTCGGATACTTTTCAGTACCTGTGCACTAAGTTTCCATAGTTGAGTTACGCGAAAGTGAAAGAAGGTGAGTTCACAGATCCCCAAATACAGAAGGTAGTTGCTGGCAGCCATTTCCAAGACTTTCTGAATGATACTGAAAATAGTGCATAGATGACATTCAAATCAGTTGTAGCCAGTTTCCTGGGAAGTTTTAAATCTGTTATGAAAATATTGTGAAGTGCATCTGAGCCTATAAAAAGTGGAGTGTCAACTTGTCCCTCAAAATGCATCTTCTCGACTCACATCTTGACTTCTTTCCCGAAAACTCATGTTCAGTCAGTGACGGCCAGAACCTTGCATTAGCCAGCGAAGGAGGCTGCCTTCTGCAGTCGGTGAAAATCCCGGAAGGTTTAGTAATGCCGACTGGTGATTGGAGTAAATTGGATAGAACAATAAATGTAATGAACACGTCTTGTTCTACCAATATCCCATACTTCCCTTCAAACTTGCACAAAAATAAGAAATTGAAAAGGACACAAGCATGGGCTCAGCGAATAAGACATCGCAAATCAAATATATTTCCATGTGCCAAATCTGTTGTTTGAAACAAACGCGAAGAAATTCTATCGCAATCCGACTCAAAAACCGAATGGCAACGCTGTCACTCCTTCAAAAAATGACGTCGAAGCATTTTGAGCAGGAATCTGGAAGGAAAGCAGATCCTACAACAAAGACGCATCTTGGCATCTTTCTGAAGTTGATGCTTCCGATGAACTTGTGGAAACAGTGGAACATGTTCACAGGACCTCTTCCAAGCGATTAAGAAGATGGGAAACTGGAAATCCCCCGGGATTGATACGATCCGAAATTTTCGTAATACATAATAATAAGTAGTACATAATAAGAAGTAATTGGATTAAGAAGTAATACATTCTCATCTAGCATAGACTGTTTATACAATTTTAGAAAACTCAAAGGAACTCCCGAAATGGCTCGCATGCGGCATCACATATTTGCTACCTGAAGTGGGAAACAGCTCTTTGGCGAAGAACGACTGTCCAATCAATAGTAGTCTGCTAGAACTGTGCAAAGTTACAACTTCAGCCACAGCTGACTGAATGTTCAGATACCTGGAGAGAAACCAGAAAAGCCAGCTGAGAAAGGATGTCGTAAATGTTCTTATGGCTGCAAGGAAATCTTGCTACTAAATAGTCACCTTGAATGATGTAAGGAAGCAAAAGGGTAATTTAAGTATGACTTGGATTGACAACCAGAATGCCTTCGACAGTATACAACACGATTGTATTTTGAAGACCCTGGAGATCTATCGATATTTTTCGTAGGCTTATTGGGTTTTGCAGGGGTATAATGTCGTGAAGTACGAAGATACTACAGCGACTACCAAGATACCACCAATACTACCAAGATACAGCGGGCAAAAGGAAGCAGTAGAAACAAAAATTATTCAGATTAAAAGGGGTATTTTTCAAGGAGATTCACTATCCTCCCTGCTGCTTTCCATTAGTTTGATCCCACTATCTAGACAGTTGTCGCAAGTGGACTTTGGTTACAAGCTCAAAGGTGATAAAAGACAAGTATCACATTTAATTTACGTGGATGATCTTAGTGTTTGCTAAGAATGAAGCAATTCTCGTCCCAATGCTGTCTGTCGTGAGTGACTTAAGCAAAGACATCTGCATGAAGTTTGGTCTTGACTATTGTGCAAAAATCAGATACCTCAGAGAGCATTGAAGTTGATGCGCACACTGTAATTCAAGTCTTGATACAGATAAAAGTTACAAACATCTGGGGATTGAATAATGTGAGACAATCTCAAATGGCCCAATGAAAGAGAGAATTCATAGGGAGTATTACGGAGTGAGGCTCATCCTGCAGTCCGCTCTGAAGTCTAGGAATAAAATATCGGCAATTGGTAGTTTGGACTGGACTGAGCAAGAAATTCGAATCACGGATCGAAAAACTAGAAAACTGCTAACAATGCATTATGTCGCCCAGCCTCGAGATGATGTACACAGACTTTGTGTCACATGGGGGAGGAGGAGGAGGAGGAGGCCTCAGACTAATTGAAGCCTCCTGGCACAATGAAATAGTCGGGATGGGAAAGTATGTAATCAGTCATCGAGATGACCCTCTATTAAAACAGTTCATGAAATCTGACGGAAGAATGGGAGATGCATGGTTAGTGTAGCAAGAAGCATTTCAAAGACAATTACGCAAGACACACAGAATAGCACTCACGGATCTTCTGATGCTACTAAACATGAAATGTGAGGCAGAAAATGTTAAAGATCGTGGGGAGACAAATCCCTCCATTGACAATACCTAAAAAGAATGTAATAGGTGCAGATCAATAAAGATCGTTCATGCGGCTTAAAAAGGAAGAATAAAGCCAGAATTGGCAGCAGTTCTAATAGCTGCTCAGAATCAGATGTTGAGAACACAATAAGATAAAGCGGTTCCCAAAATATCCCAAGAGGATAAATTCTGCATCTGCCAGGAACAGGCTAGAAACCATTGATCATATAGTGTCAGCTTGTTCAATTCTAGCAAAGACCGAATACTTGAAAAGTCACGACCGGGTGTGTAGTTACCTCCACTGTCTGATCTGTACGACTCTCGGAAGTTCCAAACACATGCCCCAAGTGGTGCGAACACTCGCCAAAAGCAGGTGACATCTGTTGGACTCTTTACAATACTTAACGATCCACCAATTCATTAATGACAATACGCAAGGTTTTTGTTTACTACTAAACGTGGTTGTGTTCGGTAATTTCAAGAGCTGAGCCTCGATGGGACACTCGTCCAGCAAAAATTCTAAATGAAATTATACGATTTCTGCAGTAAATTACTGTATACTTCACGAAATCTGCACATTTACAGCTGATTATGCAGCTTTACTGCAATCTGCTAAAAGGACGCAAACTCACTGCTACTGACCAAACCTTGTTTGCGACCCGATCTCTAATTAATCCAGCATTAATTCAACAATATAAAAATTTCCTTTTATCATTAACACTTAGCACTGTCACTTTAAATAAAACATTCGTGTCTAATATAACAGTGTTTATTTATTTACGTCAAAAACATTGTTTGAGAAGTTGATATAAAATTACATTTATGACCAGAAGCAAAACAAGGGTCCATCTCAGTGTTTGCTTAAGGATCAAATCAAAACAACTGGACGAAAATGTAATTGTGATTGGGGTCATTGACTATGGGGTCATGGTGGTCATGAGAAGCTGAAGTACAATACTTGTTACAGGTTCTTTAGAATTATACAATCCATATGGTAAATAACACACTAAATGTTGTTAAAATTAATATTACTTACCTTTTGGATGCTTGGTAAAGTCTCTAATTCTATGGAAACTGTTACGCAGCAGAAAAGATTTTTCTTGGTACTTAAACTTTTGTATCGAATTAAATCGATTAATGTCATCTGGCATGGTGTTGTAAAACAATATGATAACCTGATGAATATGATTTCTATATCGAGTGTTGTAGTTTTAGACATCAGCATTTGCTAAAAATATATTCCCGCTCCTATAAGCAAGTCATTTTTCTTGAAGATATTGCTTCATCAATGAATCAAAATGAAGCACCCATTGGAATACTTTTAGATCTTTCAAAAGCTTTTGACATTATGGACCATAACATTTTGGTATCGAAATTCCATAAGAAGGTAACTTGTGGTATGGATTTGTGGTGTCTGGATTGGATAACCTCTTATCTGAAACATCGATCTCAAAGAGTAGAAATACCATACTGGCACAAATGGACATTACTTATCTTTCCGATTCTTTGCCAATTGAACATGAGGCCTTGGAAGGTTTGCTCTTACATCCTATTCTCTTTCTGTTATATGTAAACAATATATTAATTTTAAGTTTATCTTTTTGATCTTCTTTAACCTTCGTCTATTAAAAATGGAAGAACGGTTTTGTTTGCAGACGACATGGAATGTTCTTTGCAAAAAAGAAACAATAAATAGTCTAGTTTCAGAAGTTTCAAATTGGTTTTGTAATAACAAATTAATAATTAAGTTTCAATGCAATTTTTGCATTTCTAATCCACAATTGTATGCTCGATTGAATATGAACAATATGCAGTTAGCTGATGTTCAGTTAACATCATTTCTGTATCTCTCAATTCAGTCAAACATCAAATGGAATGTACATTTAACATAATTAATCACAAAATTAGTGCATTATGTTACACGTTCAGAATTCTTTCAAATTCTGTCAGCCTTCATGCAGCTTGTTGCATGTATTTTGCAAATGTGCATTCCTGCCTGCGATATGGCATATTAATGTCGCACTTGCTTCCATTTATTTTTTTACTATTAATTAGTTATGTATTATTATTATTATTATTATTATTATTGCTATTATTATTATTATTAATTTTATTAGGATTATTGTTGTCATTGTCAAATTCTGCCACCAGTTCTTGTAACTATTTGCAGAGTAAATCTGTTTATAACAGATAGAACCATGGAACAGCAACAGGTTACCAGATTAGAATAATGTTATAGTATAAAAATGGTAATTTTGTTAGGATAAGTGTTCATTGTATTTAAGGTGCCCCTCTTGTGCAGAACTGAATTAATGGATACCATTTTAAACACTTTTTGTTTGTAGCATCCCCAGTAACATACAGCATCATTGATGGAAACATAGGTAATGCATTCTTGATTGAGAATACAACTGGAAAAATTAGAGTAAAAAATGCTCTTGACTATGAAATTCGTACTGAAGTGAGTATGACTTTTTCTTTCTATATCTGCAATGTTGGTTTTAGAGATTATAATCATGTTTTGATGAATTTATATATAGATTTTTAACATACTTTTAGTTTTGTCACTAGTTCTGAATGATTCACTTTATTATTTATCTTGCATTTTCAGTATATGCTCACAGTGCGTGCTTTTGATGGAGCTTACAAAGATGAAGCAAATGTATCTATTAAAATTGGAAATGTAAATGATAACCCCCCGATATTTTTACCTTACAATAAAAATATTACTATTAAGGAAGAAGAATTACCAGAAGAAGAATGTATAACTAAGGTAATTATAAATATTGTGCCAGTGAAATGTTTGTGTAATTGTAAGTTTTCAAATTTCCTTTGAAAGTAGTAGTTTGAATACAGTGACACTAATTCTATTTAATATAATTTTTTGCGCTAGAAAGCACATCAATTGCATGCTGTTTAATTGATTAATCTTTAAAATGTACAATTTTTTTACCTGATAGTTAGAAGCGTATGATCCAGATATAGTGAATCGAAGTTGGCCTCAACATATTGTTTATTTTGTGGTTAAAGAAGATCAAAAAGATAAACTTAAAATTAATAAAGATGGCTGCTTATCCCTTATAAAGGTATGTATATTAAGTTTATTTTTTGTCATCTTTATTCATGCTGTTTAGATTTTTATTTTTTAAATCTAATATTTACAATAAGAATAAAAATGGGAATAAAATGTAAATAAATTAATATGCTCAGAGTCTCAACACAAATTTGCTTTGAAAACAGAAAAAATATTCCCTAATGACTCGTACAGTAATATAAATAAATTAGATAGAAGAAAACCCTTAAAACATCTGCAGATGAAATTTTAGGCAGGCCAAAGTTTGTAACGTGGAAGCTATTGATAACAGAAGAGATTCTTCAACTAATCGATAGAAGAAATAAATGGAGAAAAGTGTATTCAGCAGAAGGTTGGCAGAATTACAAGATAATAAAAAACAAAATTACAAAGATGTGCAGAAGGCAAAAGTGAGGTGGATGGAAGTAACTTGTGAAAATATATAAAACATCATAAAAAAGGGAAGCATAGATACTGTGTATCAGTTAATTAAATCAATGAAAGATAATATGTTTAAACTAATATGCCAGAGCTAAGACACTGGTCAAATACCTGAAGAATTTGCTGAAAGCAAAATCATTACCATACAATAAAAAGAAAACATAACTTCATGTGAAAATTATAGAACAATTTCTCCAATATCCCATGCTCCCAAAATTCTCCACAATAATCAAAAACTGAAGAAACGGTAAAATTGAACAAAATGTGGATGAAGATCAATCATATTTAGGTCAGGAATAGGCATGAGAGAAGTTAGTGTTGCACTCTGGAGCATCTTCGACAAAAGAATGGATATGAACGAGGTCACACATGTTGCATTCATAGACTTGGAGAAAGTTTTGACAAGATTCCCTAGAAAATATTTCAGATCTTGAAAGGCGTGCATCTAGACTGGAAGGACCGAAGAATTATCCTGTCTTTCTATAAAAATCAATACACGAATAACCATCGATAACCAGGAGACGAAAGCAAATATCAGAAATGGAGTTTGACGAGTACTTACAAAAAAAAGAGATGATTGTAATGCTGCAGCCGAAATGCACAATTTTTCTTCAAAAATCTCGTATTGCAGGGCCAAGGAATCGAAGAAGCGGTTAAATCTTTGTATATAATGACTTCCTCTAACAAATTCTGTCAGAATCCATTTATCATAAGAATCCAGAATCCAATCATAAAATGGGTCAAACGTCTGCTCTTCTCTGCCCGTCTGTGGTTAACCATGAGGCCCAAAACCGTTCAGAAGATTTTCTCAAAAATTGATATTCTCAAGTATAGTATGGTTATTTTCTTTTATGATTCTTTGAGGTTTCAATATTTTGTCCATTTTGTCAATAATCCTTGACATTATTTTATTATACTTTTGCTCGAACGAAGCAAAGGAAAATATAGTTTGTTAACATTTTTACATTTTAGGAAATCGCAAAAACGCAAATTTCTGACAACTGCAATATTGAACATGGAGTATAATCTTTAATATCTGTTCTTCAAAACTAGGATTAGGTAGTTAGAATTATAAAAAGGTAATATGCACATTTTAGAAAATAAAAGTAGCTTTTGTGTACTTTTTGCTTAAAGTGAAAGCAGTTTTAAAAATTTTCTAAAAATAACTCGCAATTTTTTCTTCAAGTTTTTTCGAATAGAGCAATGTATGCTTATAATAGAGGATAATACTATGGAGGTTCCATTTTATTGAAACTTTTGAATTTTCGAAAATTGTCTAAGTTACAAATAATGAGAGAGATTATGTGCTGTTCTAGCTCCACTATTTATCAAGTCTTGTGAATATTTGGAGTGTTGAGATAATCCTGAAGAGTGGAAAATAGGATCTTTAGATTTTAAAGTGATATTGTTCTTTTATTTTTGTCATTGTTTTGAAATACGATTATAGTCTGATGACTGTGCTTTTACATTGGTTAGTTTTTTTCTTTTTTTTAAAAATTTGTTGCACCTAGACGCAACGCATTGGACGTGTCTCCCAGATCCTTAAGGGGCGTATGTAGTAATACTCAGATTAATATTTTCTTTTTCCTGCATGTTGAAAAAAACAGATGTTAAACTTGTTTGTTTTAATCTTTCGGCATTAGTATCACTATTCTCAGTGCTGTTCATTTTCATTTAGGTGAATTTGATCTTCTGAAGCAGGGATGTCCAAGTTGCAAGATCTCAATGACCACAACTAAAACCTTTAATATTGTTGCGGGCCATATTTTCATTGCTCAGGCGATCCACTCTGATCATGTATTGTTGATCTCTGCAATTTGCCCAGCTTCTTTGCAACTGAGGAAGGAAGATAAAATAGAACTATGTGTGATATCAGGCCGTACCAACAATAATGCTGGGAAACACATGAGATGAATTTTGAATTTCTGAATTTAACTAGAAAATATTTTTTAAATCTAAACTTAATCTATTTTTACATTTTGGGGTTGACCCCCACAGGGCACGTGTGGCACACAATGGACTTGGATCCAAGGGATTTCCACTTTTGTCCTTTCGCGGGCTGCCAGTTGGACAACCCAGTTCTAGATCAATCGTTTTTGTAGTTCTGAAAATTCCTTTTCACACCAGAATGAATTCTCTAAAATGTATAAAGAAATTATCAATTTTGTAGTATAAAGAACTACCTGTTAATCTCAGTCTATTGTACATTATTCTATACATTTAGAATTTATAATATTACTACTTGTTATTAGCTTCAAGTGTGACTTAAAAATTTTGGCGCATTGTAGGAACCACTTATTATTTTGTTTGGCAAGCTTACAAATTTCACGTGACAATTTCCTGTAGCACCAAATTCTTCAATAACTGTTGAATATGTTCCATCTTGAATAGGACATTTTGATGGTTTATCAATTTCCGCATTTACTATATTGTAAGATTGGCTGTTTAAACGACGCATGCACGATCTTTTAACCAGTACGCCCAATTCCCTTCCGTTTGTAAAAAAACGTTTTATTGCAATACATAAATTATTATAAATACATTACAATATATGAATTGAAAGAGAATAATGAAGTCAAAAGGAAAGGATGTACTGAGTTGACACTTCGATTTGGCCAACATTTGACCACCATTGGAAGCAGATGTTTTGAGAATTAGATAATTGTTCAGACGTCATTGTCATAGGTTACAATAATTATTGCAAATTAATTAGAAATACATCTCCGGTGCTGAGAACGTCTCCAGGTCAGCTACGCAATTTCGGAGGTGGAAAAGTTGTGGTTTTAGGTGAGGTTGAGATTCCTTGCATATTAAACGAGAAGAATATTATTCTTGTATTTTTAATGGTGAAAGTCAATCATGGTTCATTATTATCAGAAAAGACGTGTTCAACCCCCGGTTTGATTAAGTACTATTTCAAGATAGAAAATTTAGGAAACAGCAAGGAGTTGTTAAATCGACGCAGAAAAGCTCAAGAAATATTAGAAGATCATAAATCTATTTTTGAAGGCTACGGATGCATACCTTGTGAGATTTCTTTAGAAATCAACACAGAAATTAATCCAGTAATTTAATGTGCAAGAAGAATACCTGTCAGTCTTCGGAAGGATTTGAAAAATGAAGTATCAAAATTAGAAAAAGAAAGAATCATCATCCAATAGACTAAAAATACAGACTGGGTGAGTAATATTTTACTTGTAAAAAAATAAATAAATTGAAATGAAATGAAATAATAAAATAATATAAAATTAAATAAATAAAATATAAAATAAAATCACATGAAATGAAATATAAAAAGGAAAATACGAAATGAAATATAAAAATGAAATTATGAAATATATAAAAAGGAAAATATGAAATGAAATATAAAATAAAACAAATCTTTTAGGATCTGTATTGACGCTAATCCGGCATTCAAACGCCCTCATTTTCAATTTACAACTTCGGATGAAATTCTTCCAAAACTTGGAAAAGCACGGGTCTTCTCTACCTTGGATGCTAAAAAAGGTTTTTGGCAATTAAAATTAACAGAAAAAAGTAGCAAACTAACAACGTTTTGGAGACCTTTTGGAAGATATCGATGGTTGCCTTTTGGTGTCTCACCAGTGCCAGAAATTTTTTCACAAAAAATGCAGGAAATCGCTCATTACTGGAAAGGTGTAGAAGTATTAATTGATGATATTCTTATTTATGGTTGTGGTGATAATATGAAAGATGCTTTATAAGCTTATAATCACAATTTAGAAAATCTGCTTAAAGTCTTAGATCAGAATGATTGTCAAATTAACCAAGAAAAAATTGACCTTTGTAAAACATCAGTGAAGTTTTTTAGTAATATTTTATACTGCGAAGAACTCAAACCGATGTATCTAAAACCGAAGCCATAACCAGAATGAGCTCGTGAAAATAAATCTGAGCTATTGTGTTTTTTTGGCATGGTGACGTATTTGAGCAGAAGGATTTATCAATGGAAACAGAACACTTGAGAATACTTACACAAAACGATGTTCAGTGGAATTGGACAAAGAACGAGAATAAAGAATTTGAGAGGAACGAATCAGTAACATTAGAATGTGATGCTAGCTCTACGGGATTGAGATCATCTATCTATCAGAATGACAAAATTGTAGGTTATGCGTCCAGGACATTATCTTGCACAGAACGGAATTAAGCACAAATCGAAAAGGAGTTGATGTCGATTGTATTTGGTTGTATGCGCTTCGATCAATTTCTTGCAGGAAGTAGTAAAGTGGTAATTAAAACAGACCATAAGTCACTTATATCAATTTTTAAAAAGCCTCTTCTGAAAGCTCCAAAACGTCTACAACTTATGTTGATGGTTCTACAAAGATATAAATTGGAAGTACAATTTATTAAGGGGAAAGATAATGTAGTGGCTGACACTTTATCTAGAGCAGCAATAGGTCACACACTTAATGATGATAAAAGTTTGAAACATTGTGATATATTTGAATTCAGGAACGAATCAAATATTAGTCATACAATAGAAAAAGTGGGTATTCTAAAAACCTTACAGATTACACCCTGAATGCCCACCGCGCGTCGTGCGAGCGCGTGCAGACGCGGTATTCACTTGGTACCCACCTCTCACACGGCGCCACGCACGATGATGAACCAACAGTGTGGACTGTACTGTTGGCTATAGACGTGCACAGCACACACACACACATCGGCCTCCGGTAGCTCACGCGATGTAGCCAGAGGGGTACTAAAATAAAGGCTGGAGAACCACCTCGTTCCCTTACCTGAAGGGTCGACCGAAATGAATGACAAAGCGGAAAGCTTAAATATTAGTATAATGAATAACGCCTCTTGGATTAATAAAAAGTAAACTTACAATCTAAGACAATACATGAAAACAAAAGAATTATAAAGGTAAATCTACAATATACAAATGCGTGCCTGGCCCGAGCGGTGAATACTAATAAGAACTAAATCTAAAACTTAATTTTATAATTATCACCTGTAAACTAACTGATGCAATGGAAGTGGCAAATCCAATGACTGATTCTTGATACTGATTAGAACTTTTCAATTCAAATAATGCTGATTGAGCAGATTGTGAAAATTATTAAAAAAGCAAATGATGGCGGCGAAGACATCCGGTATGTGATTTTACACCTAACAAAATTGGTTCAAGTTCTACACAAAGAATCTTTAGCAGAAGAACTCGAACAGGAATTCCAGCAACAATTGAACATCTTAAACAAGAGGTGATAAAAGATGTATCAAAGACGATTGAATTTAACAAAAAGAAGAGAAAATTCTACTATGACTCAACTACTCGAAAATTACCAAAAATTGAAATAGGTTAACAAGTAGCCAAAATTAAAACCAGACGAAGATCAACTATGGAATAAAGGAGTCGTCTATGATGAACTTAAGGACCGAGATTACATAGTGAATGTTAACAAGAAGGATTACAGGCGGAATTCTTCTCGTATAAAGCCATTCTCTAACAAATCTAATGTCGACAAGAAGAAAACTATAAACATTCCATATCTGCAAGCGAGTTACATAATCATTCCGAAGAGGAAAAGAGTTGTCCTGAAGATACGATAGATAAATCAATTGAAGAATATCAGTCATGGAATTTACAAGTACTTTTGTAAATACTTCACTAACCACAGTATCAAACGTTAAAACAAGGATTGAGTCTAATGAACATCAGTCTCCATTATTAAGGCCAAAAAGACTCGCTAAGATGCCATCAAAATTTAATGATTTTGTGTTATATAAATAAACCATTTTTTTAAATTTGAAATATTCTTGGATTAAACAAATTACTTAAAATTATTTGACAAATGTTAACAGTTTAGTTTATATATTTTCTAAATTAACATACATCAGTTCAAAATAATTTTGTCTTGTTTATTAATTGGGATTCTTGTGATAGTTATAAAATTTTTGATTATGTTTTGTACCATAAACATTTTAAGTTATAAAAAACGGGAGGATGTAATGTAATGAAGTTTGACACATGCGCAGTGTGGGTGTGTGGGGGTGGTGTGGTGGATGTGGGGTGTTGTGGGTGTGTTGGGGGTGTGTATGTGGTGTGTGTGTGTGGGGGGGGGTATGAGAATTGTAGTCAACGTTGTGAATAAACTTAAGTTCTTTTTATAAATTGTAGTTGTTTATTGTTGTAGAGACAAATAAAACTACATATTAAAAAAACTCTATTACCTTGACTTGTGTAATGAGTGTGTGAATTGTAAATTAACAAAAAATGTGGCATGTATTATTTTGTGATTTTAGAGTCTTGATCGTGACCCGCCAAATGGTTATGATGAATGGCAAGTCTTTATTGCTGCTGATGATGAGGATGGTGATGTAAAATCTCTACGACAGACGACCGATTTTCTCATTCATCTTATCGATATAAATGATAATGCTCCGTTTTTGGATATGGTACAACCAGTTATATGGATGGAAAATCAGCCACCTGGTAACATAACAGTTTTAACAGCAAAGGATTATGATAGTGATGAAAATGGACCACCATTTAAATTTGTTATTGATGAAAATGCTTCAGAAGATATCAAAAGGAAGTTCTATATTTTAGGTAAGTACTTTTAGCTAAACATTTTATCAAACTGAAAAGGTTTACTTCATAGTTTATAATTTGTGTATCAATCATTTCAGTATTGTTGAATGGATAGTATCAGGAAAGTTCATAAGTATACGTTCTGGGTGTTCCTAACAGGTTGATATAATTCGATAACTACAGTTGTATACAACTTATTGTCAACAGACATATTTTGTAAAGACAGTTGTAAATATTTGCTAAGAGTACGAGGTAAAAAGATTTTGTATATTGCACTACAGCGTCCTGACACTATTGTCATGCCATGGAGTCACAGCCTGGAGTGAATGAGAATGGAAAATAGCAACCCCTTTACGTCATCTATTTGCAATTCTCTACTTGCAAGATGATTTCTCGTTAATTTAATGTTTCTGAACTCTGACATAACATTGAAAAGCGGCAGTTTAATTATAACCTATTCAGGAATCTAATCCTCGACCACAGCTTGGAAAGCCATGATTCAGTGGAGGGGTCAATGCATTATAAGTGGTCCAGAATTTAATAAATATATTGGAAAACAATATATGGACTTAAATTTTTTTATGTTTTGGCTGTACATATTTGATTTTTTTTATTGTATCTGGTTTACAAAGGGCTGCTATTTTTATTTTGGTGCCATTTTGTGCGGCATTTTTTGCGTTTGTAGACATTGTTCTTTTGTAAATCATCCGGCTCCTAGGCTAATCTAGTATTCTAGAATAAAAAGTATTAAATTTAGTATACTCCTGCCTACAAATCGAAATATTATTTACCTATCTTCCAATTGGAGAATATTTGCAACCAAATCTATGAAACACGAATGAACGAAATTCTATTTTCAGAGAGTTATTTTCCAACAAAGGAATTAAATCACAGCCTTAATTTTTCTGCCCTTTTACACATAACAGTATAGTTAATTTTTATTTTGTATCATTGGTAAATAATTTACTACTAGAAAATTACATACTCTTGAAACTTGGTATTTTGAATTTTTTCCAAATTTTCAGCTGTAATATCTCTGTTCGGGGACCAGATAAAAATTCGAAAATTTGCACACGTGCTGTGATACCCAACTTCAATAAAAATTTCAACTTTTAGGTTTAAACATTTAAGTATTTTTTTAAAACATTGTAAACTTAGTAAAAAGGCTTCATTTTCTCGTTGAAAATACTTTGTGCCAAGTAGTAATCATATTATTTTGAAGCAATTCTAAACTAAAATTACATTGATTTAAAATAATTATAGTTTAAAATACTAAAGGTGGCCTAATATATTATTTTCAATGTTTCGTATACTTTACTTTAAAACAAACTTGCAACATGACATCTACGTTTGTAATTTAAAATTTGCTCATCTTCAATTCAAAAACTGAGCGGGCTAATACAAGAATTGTTTTCAAAATATAGTAATATTGGCGTTTTGTTTATTTTTTCGCATTTGCCATTCTGGTTATTATTTTTCGGATCGTTTCTGCAGAGATACAGACAGTTGCACAGTACTCCTTTGAAGCAATGATCGCGACTGAATTTTAGAATGACTTGTTTAACACAATGATTTCCTCTGTGTAACATTACCCGCAAAAATGTTAGTCTTGTAATAATGAGCCCAAGTTATTTCTCAATCCTTTTTATGATTTTTGTAAGGATCTGGAAAAAGACTGGCGAAAGGTGAAATAGTAGGGTTTTATCTCATGGTACTTACAAAGAGATAAGACATCAAAGCTATTCCTGAATGAAAACAATACCTTTTCTTCTGCACCAAAGTTTTCAGTTGATGAGTCCTTAGGAAAAACTTCATAAACACTTTTATGGCACCCTTAACATTAGTAAAATCACCTATACATACAACATACTCAATTTTGATAAACGGTCACACAACTGTGCACGAAGACGGTGAAACACATTTTGACGGAAAGAAAAGACAATGAAGCCACAAGCTCAGATGATTCAAAAAGCCTGTGCCATTTTGAAAGAGTGATAATTCCTTGGACAATCATGTTGGTTCAGTTTAATACACAAAACTTGGGTTGTTGATATTCTAAGAAATGGTAAGAGGTGCAGGGTCATGTTTGGCAGTCTGTAGTAGCAATAGTTTGGCTAGCAATGAACCTTCTTAAACTGCACTGACCCAATATCCGCTGATTCTCTTCCATTATTAGTAAACGTGGTCACATGATTTGCACCTAACGAGTGCTGTCAGACTATCTGTATCTCTACAGAAACTTAAGAAATAATAAGCAGAATGGCAAATTACAACGTGAAAAATTTAACAAAATGCTGAATTTATAAATTTGTTATATATTATAAACAATTTTTATGTTAGCCGGTTCAGTTTTTAACATCAAAATGACCAAATTTTCAATTACAAACATTGATGTCAAGTGGTAAGTTTGTTTGAAAAGTATAAGTATTATTGAAAATTATATATTAAGCCACTTTGGGTTTATTAATAATCAAGTATACTTAATGATTTTTTAAGTAATTTTACTTAAAAATAGATTCAAAATAATATGATTACTACGTGGCACAACATATCTTTACACAGATTCAATTAGTATTAAACGGACATAATATTTATACCAATAAGAGTATGTGGTACAGTTACTTATGTTATTTCTTTTACTTCTCTTTACAGAGAATATCGTTAATTCACTTTTTCATAAAGAAATGTCTGTGTATTATTTTTGTACTTTCTGTTTTTTGTACTATATGGTGTTGCAATAGTCGTCTTTCTAAATTTTGTTCAGCATTGCTGAAACTATAAAGGTAATGTTCTTCACATTGTTATTTAAGTGGGCTGATGCCCACTAAATAACTTCCTGGGGAAATTAATGGGTGCCTATCAGGATTGAAGGCCAACTTTCATCGAGAATATTATAGTCCTCGCCCCCCCCCCCTCCCTCGTATGGTCATGTTCCTTAAGACTTGTGAAGCGAAGAAATGCCATTAAGCACTCACACTGATGGCAACTTTGTGGAAGCATAAACTTGCATTGTTTTGTAATAGTAGGCATTGATCCCATCAGAAAAAGATCTTTTAACATTGTAATAACATTTTTAACATTAACATAATGATTTTTGAAAAGTGTTATGAGTTTGCTGAAAGAGTGAATTGAATAAGTGTCATGTTTCAAGCATCCAGATTCTTTTTCTGAAGTTTAGCACAAATGAATGCAGAGTAGCTAAGACAATAGTTCACAGCAGTCTCTCAAGCATCTTGAAATGAGAAAATAAATATATATATATTTGTTATATATATATATATATATATATATATATATATATATATATATATATATATAAAAACAAACCCACCCCACCACTGGGCGTCAGCAAACAATGAGTGAAGACGGCGGAAAAAACAGTAGACGAACTTACTCCATTCAGTTTCTTTATTACTCATATTAGGTGATACGTTCGGGCAGCGGTCCTCAACCTTTTTACACTAAAGAGCACATTATATGATGCCGGTGAGACGACGGACACCATTAATTTGTTCAAGGTATATTTATAGTTGGACATTGGCAATAATACACAAAATATGCAAAAAAAAAATGTTTAATTAAAAAAAATACAATTTTAACATGAAAATTGTTGGTTGTATTTTTATATAAAATAAATTTGCAATCCGTATTAACATTGATGATGCATTGATAGTTGGTGTTCATCTTACTTCACCCACATTTACACATAATGGCACTTACACTGGTCTCTGCTGCCAAAGTGAACATTTAACCAAAAAGCAAATGAATTTTTACTCAAATACTTTTCCAAAATGTGAAAACTTCATATATTTAAAAATAAACAGGAAAATAATATACCAAAATCCAAAATTAAAAGGGTAAAATGGGTGTCAAAATACAACTGCGAAAAAGGACATAATTACAAAAAAAGAGATATACAACTAATCATTCATTATCTAATTTAATTAAAAAAACAGCATATAATTATGTGGATAAAATTAACTTAAATTACCAATAATTACTAAATAATAATGTAAAAACTCTTTGTATTAAGTACAAATTTCAAGTCACTGTGATCTTAGGCATTGCATCCTATTGAATATGTCTTCGTAATTGGGAGAATATGGCGATATTGCCACTCATAAGCAATCATAAAGATATTCGTCTGTTAGTCGAGATCTGTATTTTAATTTTGTTGTTGAAAACAATGATTCACACAAATACATGGTACCGAAAGATTTTATTTGTATGATGCTTTTTCAATAATAAACTTATTTTTGTCAACAATATTCCAGAAGTTCTCATCTGATGTATTGAATGGTAGGATTATGTAGTCATGTTTTGAAGATCCAAAATTTCTAGCTTGTTCTTCTGCCTTTACTTGAACACGCTCTGCAATGTGTGCAGCCATTTTCGTTTCATTAACTTAGCAAGTAAACGGATTGACAAAAAAGGTGAACTTTGACTCAATGGTGGTAAACAGTTGAAATTGCTTTTCAATCTGATTTTGAAGTGACTGAAGGTTGAGAACAAATGATAAGTCAATTTCATTGGTGCCTATCATTTGTTTCATATTTGGGAAATGTGCAAATGACTTCATCTGCAGATGTGATATCCACAAAACCACTTTGGCTTTAAATGAGTTTTCAGATCCTAACATTGAAGCTATATGCAAATCTTTACCTTGCAGCTTCAAGTTTAAATTATTCAATTTTTCCATTACATCTGTGATGAAGCCCAAATCCACTAGCCAGCAAGAGTTGGTTAATTCAGCAAAATTATCTTTGGAATTGAGATAATTTTTTGTCTTCACGTAAGTTGACAAATCTAGACAGTTTTGCTCTCACCAAGCCAATGTATATTATTATAAAGAATAAGATTAGGTTCTTTACAATTTTCTAACAGGGCTTAGAAAAGACTGTGTACCATGCAAAACTTCTAGTGTATAATGTGTTGATATTAAAGGAAATTTGGAAATGATTTATCTTTCTTGCAGAGAGCAATAAATCTATTGATATTACCAACCATTGCTGGCCCTC